AACAAGGGCTCTAATTTTGGTGGCAAACATTTTAAAAACTGACATGTAGTGAATCAACGCAAAATGCCAAAACGAAATTAATAGCCCTTCTAAGCTAAAAAATAACACAAGAAGACAGATGTGAGTAATTCCAGTTCATCATTTAGACACAGGAAAAAAAGTTATAATATGCGTGATGATATGACGGTACGAAGATATATTAGCATTTCATTAACTGTGAATGTAAATGGAAATAACCAGACTTCCTTTCATTTCTGTCTCTGTATACAGATCTGATTTGTTCTATCTTCCTACACTATGGGCTTTCTCAATGAAAAACACGACAGTAAACACCAGTATTCACAGAAATTCGGTAGTGCTTGTCAAGTCCGTTAATTTAAAGAGATTCGAATTGCAAACAAGGGCTGCCCGCAACTCGTCTCCCGCTTTGTCTACTTTGCAGCTGTCTGAGGTATGCAGGGGAAAAAAAATCAATTATTGAATATATAAAGATCAAGAAGAAAATATTTCTAATTACTTTTTTAAAAATAAATTTACATGCTGAGGATTCGAAAATTCACTTCGAGTAAATCTTTGAAGGAAGTAACTATAGAAGAAGTCATAGCATTTTTCGCTGGTATGCAGGGAGTATATTTTTCATCAGCATTATGCCAGTATGCCAGTTTCCATGAGTTGACATTTTACTATTTTCGTTTTTCAAATACTTGGTTTTTCCCTACTTTCCGCATGTCTTCGTGTTGTAACTGGATAGCAGGTCCGACGCGTAATCGGAAGGTCTGGAGTTCGAACCTCTGCGAGGTCATTGAGGATTTCTTGTTACCTGACATAAAAAATTCCTCCCCCTCCAAAAAAAACTCTATACATTATGCAGACAATAATTACTTATTGTACAATCGATAAATACTATGGATTTCGATAGAATTACTACCAGCCGAGTTCTGTCAATCGAAACATTCTCCGTATCACTAAAATTTAAATAAATAAATAACTAAATTATATGGGACGGATTTTAAACGTATTAATTTACTTTATTTTAAATTATTTTGCATTTATTTTAATGTATTTAGCCTATTTCGTAGTACAGTTTTTTTCCCCTTGAAAAGCCAACTGAGAGTACGAGTGGCTAATTACCATTTTCCGCTATTTAATTATTGTTTTTAGAGATGCTTTTGTATATTTATTCTTTTTTTAATTTTGATTTTAATTTTTATGTATAGGCATATATAATTGGCAATTTTTAATTTTTATGTAGAGGCTTTTATATTGACATTTATAATCCTGTTTTTTGTAACTTCCTTATATATATATATATTTCCGTCGATCTATTTTTCATGTGAGAACTTTCACATTTCACAACGGTCAGATTCACTAATTTTTTCGGGCATTAGCAAGTCTTCCAGCACTAAAATGGCAGTTTATCGCGCTATACAGTTTTCCAGTTTTACAGAAATTTCTTATTGTTTATGTAGTACTAGTACAGCATTTCATGGAGCTACGCTCCTGGAACTTTTTAGCAATGTTGCTGCAATGTTCCTACCTACTACTATATATATATATTTATACATCTTATTTTTTTAAATTGTATTTTTTATAATTTTATTCTATTGGAAATTAATTTTTAAAATTTTTATTGTTTTGGTTTTATTATGTACAAATTACCTTTTTTTATATTTTTTTTCCTCTTTGAAGTGAACATTTTTTAATTACAATTTTTTAATTTTCTTTAATTTGTGTTTTACCGGTTTATTTTGTTACACGGAGAAAATAGGATTAACCTTCAAATACGGCATTTTCTTTTTCGTTCTGATTTTCGAGATTTTGATTTATTGTTTTCAAATCTTGCAGCACATTGCGCAAGTTTGTGTCTAGGTTTTTATTTTCTTTTGTTTTTTAAACTGCTTAAAAAATATTATATGATATTATATATTAAAAATAAAAATTTGGATGTTTTATATACATATATATATATCAACAAGAATTTAGAAATTCGAAAATTAAAATTATAAATTATTATACTCGCTTCGTATGTTTCGAAATCAATTAAATTATCAAAACATAATAATCAAGTAATTAATGCAAAATTTGGGTGGTTAACCGTCTAACAGGAAGAAATTACAGCAAAGCTAGAATGGAAACAAAACATTTCAATAAAATAATGTAATAAAAACATAATAAAATAAATCCTTGGTCTTCGACAAGGAGTAGCAGTCTCGTTTTGGAATAATATGTGGATGATTATAACTTAATGACAAATACACTAAATAAATTAAAATAACTAAAATAACGTTAAGAAGTGTATAATACAAATAAAAAATACAATAAAGCATAAAAATATTTAAAAAAATGTTTTAGCCTTTTTAATAAATCACCAAGATAAAAATCTGCTTCGACGTGACCCAAAACCAATTAATAAAAAAAATTAAAACGTATAAAATAAGAAACCAGATAAACAACTGGTGAAAATAGAAGCAATAAGCTAAATTATTATTTTTCAAAACAGATAAAAACTGTTATAAACTGAAAGTAGTAATTAAATTTTAAAATCAAGAATTAACGAAATGAAACAATTTTTTTTGGATTGGTAAGCTACGAGCCTAAATTTTGAAAAATTTTAATAAGCAAAAGGAAAAATAATTTTAATAAGCATTAGGAAAAATAATTAATATATAATAAAATTGTAATGAAAATTCTTTCGAGAGATTAATCACTAGGAAAAAAAATGTTACAAGAATTTTAATTCCATCCACATGGCACTGGTCAAATGAAATGCAGTAAGCTAAATTAATTTTTTCAGTTACTTTTGTCGAGAATGGAAGGTTATAACCTAAAATGGGATATATTTTCAAAGGCAAAAAAGGCTAAAATTAGGGTAAACAATTAAATTTAATAAAAAATTTAACTAGTTAAATAATAAACTGAATGGAAAAGGAAAATATTTAATTTTATTTTTCCTCTTCCATTCAATATTATTTTTACAAAGAAAAAAATTATTTTTTTACCGTTGTAAAGAATTGACATCTGACTAAAAAAAGAATTCTTTTCCCATTGTAAAGAACTGGCTTCTCACATGAGATGAACAAATTATTCCCGCTTTTGAAGAGCGCAAGTGGTCAGATTACCATGCTTAAATGCGGATGTTTCTAAGATCATGTTGTCAAGGCCGAAATTCCGTGTTTCTTCCTTACGCAGAAAATATCTGAAGCCTATTACAGTTAGCAGGGTAACGTCAGTCAGCCAGAGTGAAAACAGGAAATTTCTGATTTTGGATGAAGTCCTCATAATCTGTTTATATATAGAAAAGTGATTTTTTTTTTTTAACATTTCTCTTTTGCTCAACCTTTTATTGAAATTTTCCCTTTTTGTTTTCACCAGATACTTAGTTTGAGAAAATTGTATTTTCATATGTAAATAGTAAACCATATTATCATAATCAATAGCAATTTTAATTATGAAAATATTAAATAAGGCAATATAAATTTGGATAAATACTTGTAATCTGTAAAAATTTCAAATAATGATTTTTTATAATAAATTATATTTTATGATATTATTATTCGGAGAGATGGTCAGAAAAGTTTTAAACTCATGTACTTTAATTGAGCTTTTAGGGGAATCACTAAGACAGCAAGGTACATTTGTACTGTTACATTTTACAGTACATTTGTACTGTTAAATATGTTCAGATTAAATTCACAGTTCCTGAAGAAATTTAAAATTATTCCCTTTTTATTTTGTCAGCCAGTATTGCCTCCAATATTGAATGTTTTATTCATTAGTGGAAAATATTTCGTGAAGCCGTAATAGAAAATGAATGTTAGAGATGAAAATCTGGTTACTAATGAAAAATCAGCTTACTCGAAATTAACTACTTCACTTTTAATTTCTTAGAAATGAGTGATATAGTTTCGAAGTAATTTTTTAAGTAGAATACTTTGTATGTTCCAATTTTACTCAGTGACCTGCAATCTAGTTTGCCTTCGGTCTTAGAAATTTTTTACCTAAGCTTATTTGAGTTGCAAACATAATTCTATATTCTGCTGTTAAAAGATCGAAAACCAATTTTCCTATGAATATTTGTAATGGAAATTTGAGAAGTAATTTCAGAAGAAAAGCTTAATGTTTTGTAATGAGTCGTGTATAAAAACTTTAGAGAAAAGACAGGACATTAGTATAGTTGTTAGTTTGTGTTTGGAAGACATAAAATCAATTTGTAGCAACTCAACAAACACGGAAGTTTTAATTCTGGAATCTATAACAAATGGAGTGATTAACGATTTTGCACCCACAGTTATGTATATCTCTAAACGTAACACACATGCACATGTAACACTGGTATTAATATCAAGAACTATGTTTTTGAAATACTATTTTTCTGATACGTTTTCTATGTGTTTATAATCACTTTCTTTTAAATTATGTTTCCAATAGTAAATCAAGCATCTCATATTAACAGTAATAACAAGCAGGAAAATTATTCATTTAAACGTAATAGATTCAGTGGAGGTATTGCAGTGTGTCAGCAGGTAAACACTGCAGTATATTTCGATGGAGATATTCTGTAGGAGAATGCGAACTTCAAAGTGAAAGTGATATTGAATTTATGAAGATGAAATAGAAACATATTTACGATCTCTACCAATACCGACCGTCAAGTAAGCACAACCTAATATTTGTACTATTGGGTTTAATAAAATGTTTCTGTGTTGGTAACTGTTTCATAATTCATATCTTAGTTGGCAGTTGCTTCTCTTTCAGAATTTTTCCATGCTTTCTATGGCATTGAACGGAATTTCTGAAGGTTCCCTAAAGGACAAGGAAGGCTCTAAATACCATTTTGTATAGTAATGAATAGAATCTTTTCTTTTATCTGAACCTGGTTGAAAGACATTTGACTTTTCGCGCATAGTTGCTCTGCACAGTAAGGTTCAACCAAAGCAAGAAAGAAATGTACCCACTCTTACGGCTCTGGTTCAAAAGAAGGTGGGACTGACCTACTTTAAGCGTCTTTATAAGACTAAGTTTGATCTAATTTCTAGTCTTGGAGAAATTGCTGATGTGAGATTCATTCATCAAGCCTATATTTGCCCAAAGGCAGTGAATATTCCTGTGGGATTTATTAGTAAACTATAGCCACCTGTCGTTCCGAAGTAAGTGATGCATTTTATGTCCAGTTTACTCTCAGTTTAGAGGGGAGGAAAAGCATTTATATACTTATAAGAGCTCAAATTAGATTCAGTTGCAGATTAAAAATAACAAGCAATTATATGTATTAGGGGGTCATAAATCTTGCTACTGGAGTTGCATTAAAATATGTATTCATGCTGTTACTCACGTAGATAAGAGAAATGTTTTATGGTATTTTGAGGACTTTTGTATGATCCTGGGTAAAAATTATTTGTAGGTAATGAAAGTATTTTCTAAACATATATATTAATTTTCTTTAATGATATAATGTAGCTATGAAATTTAAAGATATTTTAGTGAACAGTATACTGAAAGTGCGTTTTCTTAAAAAATTACTATGGGGGAAAAAGTCAAATTTTTAGTTTATCTGAATAGGTTTAAAAAATGGAATGGAACGGAAATAAACATGTTTTTTCTTATACGAATTCTCCACTTTGGTGAATATTTCCTAATATAAAAATTTTTTCAGTTTTTAAAATTCATTTAGAATTTATATTGCACAGAAAGAACTGCAAAATGGGAAATGGGAAAGAATGCATAAAATTTTATTCAATGCAGTTTGCATTAAACCAAGAAATTGAAGGGGGGAAATTGCAATTCTAAGCTGGAAATAAAGTAGGAAGTATTATATAACTCTTTTATGAACTCACAAGCAAAACATTATAAACAAGGAAAAGAGCTGTTAAAATATGGGATTTTAAAAAATGGGATTATGTTAAAAAATATTAAATTATAGAATTTTTAATTACCATAAAACAAGTACTAAGTGACCGTATTAAGTCATTGACTTTACCACAAAAGGGTGATAATTATCATTACTTTCGCAATGAAATGGAATAAAAGGCTTATTCAAGCTTATCGCTTGAATGAAACTAAAATGTACTGCCAGTCAGATAAAAAGATCGATTAAATTATTAACCGTGATATATAACATTTTACGTGTTAACAGTAAGATGCATGTTACTTTCGATGTTGGCAATATTAATTTGAAGTTAGGATTTAACTGCATTACAGATATTTGATAAAGTTGTGCAAAATAAGTGATAATTTGAAAACTTTCTTTAATTTTTATCCCTGAAAATATAGTACTATGTTTTCAGCCTATAATGCGCATATGAAGGGATGAGAGTCATGCAAAATCAAGACTAGCAAGCAGATGAAACTTGTAATGCAGTTCCAAATTTTTTTTTAAAATTAAGTACATTTATTAGACTACAGGGGAATACACAAACACTGATAGAGCTCTAGGGCTTTCTTTTCTTCATTAATTCAGCTTTTAATCGTTTTCCTAAAACATCAAGGTAGAACATCATGCTAAGTAATATGTTAACTTATAATACGGATACGAAAGTCATGCAAAATCAAAACTAACATGCGAATCAAACTCAAGATGCAACTGAAAAAATTAAAAGAATAAGCGCATTATTAACAAATTTTTTTAGAAGTTTTAGCTATAACGCAGAATTTTTATTCTGGAAAAGAGTTTCGTATAAGCTGCCCTTAAAGTAATTTTTCTGGAATCAAGACGAAGTTTGACTCTTTATATATATGACGGAGGTATTTGAAATTAATAATCTCCAGGTGGGGGAAACGTTAAAAACGAATTCTACTTTACAGAACCATTAATCGCCAAAACAAAAATATCGTTTTGTAGGTTCTTCCTAAATCTATTTATTCAAATTTGCTTGGTGGTCTACGCTGAAAAGTGATGTAAGTCAGTAAATTTGCTCTCGTATAACTCCTCGAATTTTGCTTGTATAGAGATGGAATCTGTTTATTCATTCAATTTTGAGAGCATAATGAACATTTGACTGCTGAACTTCTACGGGGACTACAAACGAAATTTTGCGTTTCCAAGGAATTCTTCTGCTCCCAGTGCTGAAACCGTTTTCAGCAAATTTTCTGCCTTGTTTTAAGATTTAACTTCGAAATTAAAAGTACATGTCGAGGATTAATACTTGAGGAAATAAAGCTTGCAACCATTTTTTTCCACTTTCTTTACACTCTGTATGCATTTAAGTTGTATTAAAAATTAGGACTAATCTGCAAATTATATAATAACAATCAAGTTGATGACAGCTAGTGAGCGCTTATTGATTTGTTTTAATTATGATTTATTTTGCGTAGCTTCTGAACGTGAAAAAGAATCTCTTCCAAAGTAAAGAAGAAGCTTGAAATTAAGTGAAAGAAAAGATGGTAGAAATGGTTTGAATGGCCTTGTTTCATTTCATCAAGCAAAGTGTTTGGGAAGATTTATAGTCTGTAAAAAGCCACTAAGTATGATAGGCATTAACCCCTTGCACTCTGTAGTCGCCGCTATGGCGACATTGAAGGATAATTTGATAATTCCGTTGTCGCTTCTACGGCTACATTATAAGTTTAAGTCCCTAAAACTTTAGATACAAGAACCCTTTATCTTGATAATATTAGATGCATTAGTCTTTTACTTACTTTGGGAAAATGTCTTGAAACTCTCTTCATTAATAGAATAAATTGGTATTTGAGACAGAAATGTTCTTATAATGATTCTGAGTTCGGGGTTACTCCTCGGAAGTCTGCTGAAGATGGCCTGATTCTCCTTAGTAATATCTTATAGCATGGAAAGAAAATGAAGTTTAGAACACTTCTTATTGTTCTTTATTCCAAAGGTGCTTTTGATAATGCTTGGTAGCTATCTATCTTAAAGATTCTTAAAGATCCTAGTATAACACACAATATCTATAGCCTGTTTAAAAGCTTCTCAAACGGGAGGACCGCTGAGCTTCAGCTTGGGTCCGAAGCTAAGGTTTATTTTCTGGAAAATGGCTGTCCTCAAGGCTCTGTGTCCGGACCTACTCTTTGGAACATAATAAATGATCTTTTAAGTCATCTCGACGGTTATTTAAAAATTACATTTGCAGACGACTTACTATTAAATTTTCCAAGGAAATTCCAATGAATAATATTTTTTTGAGAGTACAAGAAGAGCTGGATTTTTGTCTCCAATTGGGCGATTTCTCATGAATTCGCTTTCAGTCCTCCAAAAAGTAAAGCTATTATTGTTTTAAGAAATCTGGATGAACAAGATATTGCTCCTTTGATACTCGATGGCTTCTTATTAGAATTTATAGTGTTAAGTATCTTGGTGTCATATATGACCAAAAATTAACATGGAAAAAGCACACTGAATTCTTTTCTGACAAATGTGAAAAAATAATTAACTGGTTTCACCGTATTGCCAAAAATACTTTTGGAGTAAGGTATGATGTCAAGAAACTGGCGTATAAGCAGTGTTACCTTTGATTTCCTACGGCTGTCGTGCTTAGGGACATGTTCTTGCAAAGAAGGTTAACAAAAGAAATCTGAGAAAGTTTCAACGCAGAAATATTCGGATTATTAGTGGTTATAGAACTGAAATTATGAGGCTATTGATTTCGAAATTGAATTTAAGAATAATATTTTGGAAGCATTGGCAACTGATACTTTGGAAGACTGCATAAATGGAAGTATCGCCTTTCCGATCTTCCTCATCCAGCTATTTTAGAACCCATTTGCGATTATAAAGAGACTTCATATGGTTTTCTTCATAGATGGCAGCAAAATGAACAACAAGGTTGGCCTTGCGTATGTCCTTTTTGAAGAAAAATCTGAGGTATGTTATTTTAAAAAACCGTACACGCAATGAATGCACATTTTTTCAAGCAGAGCTTCATTGTATTTATCTTGTCGTCAAATGGATCAAGGATAATGGTACAGCATCCTCAAAGCACCTTATTTGTTCTGATTCTCTTTATTCTTTTCACCTTTTGAACAGTATTAGTACCATAATAGTGAAAAGTGTTCCGCTTAGTTTCAGCAGTACCCACCATGCACCTTCTTTTCATGTTCTGGTCTTTATTTCCATGTTCCTCGTTTCGTGGCCAATCCCCAGAGGACACAGTACTAAGCTCCTTATTGATATTTATTCATATATTTATTTTTAATTCCATCGACGGGATCCAACAGGCTGAAAAGCACCTAACGCAATGGACTAGCTGTTCCGTCGATGGCGAAAAGAAAGAACGTATTATTAGCAGCGATAAATTAGTGTAACTGTTAGTTCGCTTAGAAATAAGAGGCTTGATATCCGCTTTGCTTATGTGCGTGCTCATTATGGATTTTATGAAAATGAAAGAGCTGATTTCTTAGCTAAAGATTCCTTAAATTTACCCATAGATATCAATATTAGGATTCCAAAGAGCTATTGGAAGTTCTTTCATTATAAGAAACTTTTAGCTAAGTGGAATGAGAAATATATTTTATCTTGTAATGTTGAGGGTACCAAAAAGTACCGTGTTGCACATCTGTGGTGTACGGGGAGATTATATGTGTTCAAAAAAAATGAAGATAAGTAGATTACTTCGTTGTTGCTCCTGCGGAGACATTGTGAGCTAAGTTGTTAACTCTGTTGTCCTTGTAGATATACGAGTAATATTATAAACTGATTAGATAAAGATAATATCAGAAATTGATCGAAGTGCAAAGGGTTAATAAATGTGCATGAGTATTAGTATAAATATTTATTATACTAAATAATGCATATAATTATAAAATTAGTAATTTATATAATTTTACCGTAATAGTATATAACGCAACGCGTAATTGTATATAATAATTATACATATTTATTCTATTATGTGTATATTATCTGACTATGTAGTTATCAACAGAAATACAGGCTATCTCATTCAATAATTCTAATTTCGGCGACTCTTAACATTAGCATTTATTGACCGGCAAGGCGTATATATAGGGCCTAAAATATTTTTAAGAAAGTATATATACATGCATTTTGAAATATGTCCAAAAAATTAAGGCAATGTATTAAAAGTAATTAAATTTAGGTATAAATTATCAGGGGCATGTTGGCATTAATTTCAAGAAAATACCTCTTTCTAATACCAGATCTGGGAAATTTGGGCTTTCTTGGGAAAACCCTTTGCCG